GAAAAAATAAGCATTAGGAAAGCCACACTAATTATGGTGACTCCACAGATTCTGGAGTTAGTTATTTCAGTTATGGGTCAATATAACGTAATTAGTTAGTCAGTTATGGGTCAATATAACGCTGATACCAGCCTATGCTTCTGGATGAAATAAGTCATTTTCCCTCTTCAAAAGCAAAATCTCAGCATTTCCAGCAACTGTGAGCTCCTGGGAATTTCTACTAGACTCAAACGGTTCAAAAGTTTGCATCTGTTGTTCCTAATTATTCCATAATAATTAGTGGTTCAAATCCCACTTGGGGAAAAGCTTCCCTGTACTTTCAGAGAGTAAGAGAAAACTGAGATCTTGGAGTTTAGGTTCAATGCTTGTTGATCTGATTATGCAATTATACTAGGAAAGATTAGAAGGAGAGATCTGGCTGGCCCCCCAAAACAAAAATGATTAAAACTGATATTTTCCATTTAGTGCAGTTTTAAGAACAAAATGCAAAACAGTTTGAGCTGTTTCAAAAGATTTGTATCTGATAAAATATATATCCAGTTAATAAGCGGTAATTTTGCCCTTTAAATTACCAGCTTCACAGATGACTAAGAGCAACATAAAACATCTAAATATTAGTATAATTCAAGACTTAATTAAATTCCAGTAAATGGGTTTAAGTCTGCTCCCAATCCTGTGTCAGATAGGAGTATTTCAACTGAAAACAACTGAGTTTACACCAGTGCGAGAAGAATCCGAGCCAGTGAATTCAAATTATTTTGTGGATGTTTATAACTAAATGCTCCACTCATAAGGCAGAGAACTGCATCACGTTGATTGTGGCTGCTTCAGTGCAGTTCCTCTGATTGTAGCAGCCCTTGTGCGCTAACCTAAGGTAAACCCAGGGTGCTCCTAAAAGTGCCGTGTGGTATTCAATAGCTGTTCCCCTTTAAGTTGGTATGGAATCAAAACCTCTATGTGGTATTATGGGTCTCTGTGCCACTAGACGCAATGTGTTTTGGATGAGATGGGAAGAGTTAATTGACAATTTGAACTGAAAAAATTCTCTGCCTTTTTTATTTTTGCAAGAAGGGTGTGTGTGTGTGTGTGTGTGTGTGTGTCTGTGTCTGTCTAAATTGGGCCAAATTCTGCATTGATTTACCTCATAGTGAACCCTGAATAAGTCCACTGAAGTGATTGTAGTTTTTATTGAAAATAAATGCCGACGTGAAACAATAATTTCTTTCCAAACCAGGCTTTGCTGATATTGGGACAACATTCTAGTGCAACTACTCTAGCGTTATACAGTGTGCTTGGTGAAGATGTGATGATTTTATTTTTCCTGGTAGATGCTGGCCTCAGCAGCATGATAGGAGCTCCCTGTACTACTCTCTGAGAGAGTCTCTCTCAGGGTGAAATTAACCAGTGGAGCATGGAATGCTCTTTGCATGACTTATGCTGTGCGTGAAGGCTGGGCAAGAGTGGTTCTGCGACCTGTAGGCTGTGGAAAGGGCCTGAGCATTGGCCTAACACATGCCATCGCTGACAGCTGCAACGCCCAGCTCCCCTGACTCTACTTGTCCCCCCGCCATTCTTTACCGGCTTGCAGCTGTTACTTGAGCTTTATGTAGATGAAATGGCTTTAACCATTAGTCTGGAATTCACTTGTATGGAGGGGGCAGCACAGGGGCTATGCCTCATTTAAATTCCACTTAAGCACTCAAAATAGGGCTCATTTACATAAGCTATACATACACTTGACTCTGGTCCTCTGTACAGGGCGAGTTCCTCTTTATGCAACAGCTATGTTGATTGGCTGGAACATATTAAATGCCTGTACGCTAAGCCAATCAAACACTTGCCTACCTATAAAATAACTATAAAATAGCACAGCTATTTAGATAGGGTAGTTTTTATTTTAAAATAAACAAACTCATTTCAAAACCACTGAAAGATCAATTTAAACGTTTCCTAGTACATAAGAATTGGTTGTCCACCAATCTGATTGGCAGTCCCAGATTCCATTTGAGACATTTTTTAAATAACTCCATACAAATTTCCAAATATACTTGATTTTCTTGGTACCTGCACAATGCCAGTGTTTTCACAATGCCTGTTTTCTATGGGACAGCAAAGTGTGTTGTTTTATGTGAGGGGACATACTAGGCCCAGAATTTGCAAAATATTTTAAGTGTTCTGTCTTTATCCACTCTCCGAAGTGTGCTGCTCATGTTCATTAGACTTTGTAACCCTTGCAAATACATAACCCCACCGTCTCCCTCTCTGCACATGTACTGGCTCTGAGCTAATGTGATTGGAAAAGGCATGAATGGCTTTGCACAAAAAAAGCCAGTGCTTTGTCTGGAAAGGAAAGAAGAGAGCCCGTATTGGAAGGACAAAATGTCTGTTTGTTTGACAATAGAGATAATTACTACCAAGAACCTTCAAGGAAATAGAGGAATGAGCCTAAGTTCACTGAAGTTTATCAAAAAACAAAACCAAACACCTCCCATTGACAGCAGTGGGCTTGGATCAGTCTCTAAATGCAGTGTCAGGAAATGTGGGCCAAGTGGCTCCTTCATTGCAGAGCTGAAAGGTTCTGCTTTAACAAAGAACCTACTAAAAGCTGATCTGTTATTGCCCGGAAAAACTATTTAATTGTTGCCAACTTTTGTGAGTTTATTGAGGGTCTCATGATATTTGCTATTTCTCTGGAATCCCCAGCTCCTGGAGTCATGTGAAGGAATCTCAGCTTACTTTTTTTTAATGAAAGTTTCTAGCCATGTTGTTGCAGAGAAAAGCTTGAACACATGATGCAAGTGCTACCTATAGACTCACAAGGCAAATAGAAAGGTAAATAAAAAAAGCCCGTATTTTTTAAAAAATCTCATCACTTTTAAGACAATCTCCTGATTTTTGGGGGGGCCTGTCTCAAAAGTTTTGAAAACTTGGGTTTGGCAATACTGATATTATATAGCCTGTGTATATTTTTTTCATTACACCTTTATGTCTGTTGCTGGTTCAGTGGGAGTTAGATCAATCCATAGAATGCATATCATTTACATCTTTCCAGCTTTGATTTTTTTCACACAAGCATTGTGACGTTTTGTTGCCTCGCAGCTATTTCTTGCTACTGGCTGTTTAGATGGTATAATTGGGGAGGTGTTTATTAAAAAGGACTTTCTCTTTCAGGATACTAAAAAAAAAAATCTTTACTATTATTGCAGAAAAGTACTCTTCCATAATTAACTGTTAAGTGGTGGTGTAAATTAAGTTGCTGAACTAGTAGATAAATGAAACTGTCGCATGTATAATTGCCAGGCAAAGTGGTTACAATTTTAGCCAGTTTCATTGGTTTGCTGTTGCAGCGTGCTGTCGCTAAAATAATAAATCATCATTTGTATAGGAATGGGTAATCACCACATGAGAGAGAGGGAATCATTGCATAGGGGATAAGATGGGATGTACCAAAGCAAAAACAGTGTGAGAAGAGAATCTTTTTAACGAGATGTCGCACTTCGATGGATAATTTGTAGTTATACTCAGGCAAAAGAACCTTAAAAGGAAGGAGATATTCTTGGCTAAACACTGCTTTCAGATACACTGGTGTAAGCTTAAGTAACTCCATTGATTTGGACTCCTTGATTATATTCCTGTGTCTGCCAATGCCTCATGATAGGATTCTGGGAAAGTTATTTCACCTTTTTGTGCTTGGGTTTACCCACTGTAAAATGAGTATAATAATACTCACATACAGGACCTCCTAGGGATATTGTGAAGTTTATTTTATTTCAACAAAGCATGTTGAGAAATTCTCATGGAAAATGTTACATAAAATGATTAATTTAAGCTAGTCAACATTTTTCAAATTTTTGATTAAAAAATGAATTTAAAAGAACATATTTCCTTTCCCCTCCCTCCCGCCCTCTGACCACCTCTATTCATATGATTTAGGCCAAAGAGATAATTCCTCTTAAACCACAGCTAGAATTCTCTCTATCTGTAGAAAGATTATGGCTGAAACAAAATCCAAAGGAGTACAACAAAAATCATCATCAGAGAGTGAGCGGTCACTTAAACGAAGACTGACTGTAAGAACTAGAAATGTACAGCTTTGCAAAGAAGCCACACGTGGGACTACGGTAATTGTCTGTGAATACCTGAGCAGTGCCAGCCCTAATACCGTGAAATAACTTGGGGCCTGTTCCAAAGAGAATGGGAGTCTTTCCATTTTTTTCAATGGGCTTTGGATCAGGGCCATATTTCCTTAGATTCCAGGGTAAAAATCTTCAGCTGTTTACATAGCCTCGTCTGGAAAGTAGATGATGGCAAAAAGTAAGGATCTTTTTAGGACACTACCTCTTTCAAATGGCCTAAGTTTTATAGACATGTTCAAAGCTGGCTAGAGTATCTCTGAGAACAGGTCGATGGCTCCAAATCAAAGTGGATGTGGTTTTGTTCATTTAGAGTAGGGGCCCAATTCTGTTGCCATTGATGTCAAAAGGAATTTCACCATTGACTTCAACAGGTGCAGAATCGTCTCTTTAGTCTTTGTGCCCTTCATGAAGTGGTTATCACAAGAACATTTTGAAACTAAGCTGGGCTAACAGGGTAGGTTCTTTGTACGGCTGATGTTGTTAAAGAGGCACATCTTACTCTTGCAAACCAAGTCGGTAATGAATAGTGGTGAGAAATACTTGTTATTGAAGTAATTTGAAAGTCAAGAGATGATTCACATGCCACTTCCTTCCAGGATGTCCATAGGGCTGAACTTTGGGGTAGAGCTTGTATTGAGGAAGCAAAGGAAATTAGGATCTACTTGGAAGTCAAGGAAGGATGGTCTTGTTGTCAGGCTCCTGCACTGGAGGAAGCAAAGTTCAATTCATATCCTGGCTTTGCTACAGTCTTCAGTGACCTTCAGTGACTCTTTGTGCTTCAGCTCCCCATCTGCAAAATAGGATGATACTTCCTTTCTTCAACTCTTTTGTCTTGTTTCTTTAGACTGCAAGCTCTTTTTTGCAGGGACTGGCACTTACTATGTGTCTGTACAGTGCCCGGCACAGGGGGCTTGGTTGGGGCCTCACAGCTGTGAGGAAAAAATAATTATATGTTCAGCTGATGCCTATGAAGAATGTTAGGTGAGTTTTCATTTTTGTTATGACCTAATTGTTATTAATGGTTGTTCCCAGTTAAGAGAGAGTGTCAAAGCAAAATGGTAATTTCCTCTTCTTCCAGTAAATCAATAAGAGAGTTATTTATTCAACAGATGAATATTATGTATCTTCCACTTAGAGCCGAAGTCCAAGCAATGTGGTATACACTTTTCTTGCATGTTCTAGACCTTTTTCCATATCTTTAGCATGCCTATTGCTGTGGGGGCATCTGGAATGCTGATTGCTTTCATTGGCATTTCAGTTGGATGCTTTGATTAGTTAAAATTTCCATTTGGGGAAAAACTAAGATTAGAAATTCAAGCTTTATTAACTGTGCCTACAGCAGAAAGTCATTAGAGTTTTAAATCAGTCTCAGGAGCATGGGAAGTTATAAATCATTCAGGCTCCTTAGAAGGCTGGTTACGCTCTTTTGTTTACTATTCTAAAATTCTTCATCAGTTAGCATCATGCACTAAATCTAAAATCATTAAAACTATTGTTGACCATAACAAATTCAGATCATTGCAATGAATGTTTATGTTTTCATCCTGGAAAATGTTTGAGATTCCTCATGAAGGAAAAGTACTACTTGTGAAAAAAGGAAGGATTTAGCCGAGTATTTCCTCAGTGAGAGATTTTAGAGAAACTGCTGAGCACCTGCATTCTGAAAATCAGATCTCTTTAAGGTATCTAAGTTGGGTACCCAAAATCATTAGTCATTTTTGAAAATTGTGGCCTTGGCTTCTCTATTTGCTCCAAGACTTCCCAGTAGATTTTTAAGGGAAGTGCCATATTGGACTTGATTTCCTATTTTTAACCGGGGAAGTATTGTATTTTTTAGGCTCTGGTACTAGTACTAGTCACCTGGGCCGGCTCTAGTGATTTTGCCGCCCCAAGCAGGGGAGGAAAAAAAAAGCCACGATTGCAAGCGGCGGCAGCTCTACCCCCGCTTCATTCTACAGCAGCAATTCGGCGGCAGGTCCTTCGCTCCGAGAGGGAGCGACGGCCCTGCCGCTGAATGGCTGGACGTGCCGCCCCCCTCTTCATTAGCCACCCCAGGCACCTGCTTGCTAGGCTGGTACCTGGAGCCGGACCTGCTAGTCACTAATCCAATTCAATGTAGGTTCTATAGTCTGTCTTTCCGCCATCTTTCAATATTGCAACTTCACCCAAGATATTAACAGGTAAAGAGAAAGCAATTTTAATTCTGCTTGGCAGCATCTCCAGTGCTGATTTCCAACTTTTCTTGAAATGTTAATGATAGATTTCTGTGCCACTGCCGCACGTAGCCTGTTCCCTGAAGAGGATTCAGGTTCCCTCCTTAGCAGCAGATTATTTCCTGATCACATTTCTCATATGAGGGAGTCCATGTCTTCAGTCAAGAGACTCAAGATCATTTTACAATTTAACTTTATCCAGCCATCTATTAGCAAGTCACATGATAGGATATTTCGAGTCATTTCAGTTTTGATGAGGACTGGAGCTCGCTGAGACATTAATCACTGAGTAGTTTGTATCCAAAGTAAATAAGTGCCTGAAAGCATCCAAATAAATATTGTCTCTTTACTTTAATTCCAGTTTTCCTTTCTGTCAGGAGCAACAGAAAATGTTTCCAGATGCCTCAGTGTGTTGTGTTTAGCTAGGCCACTTAACATTAATCTCGTGTTAGATTACCTCTCCAAAATTGCTAATCAGATCTACTATATTACAGTGTTTTGCTGAGGGCCTAAGGCTTCTGAGTTGAGATTGATAAAGACTGACAAGCCATGGCCATATGAAAACTTAAAACTGATACTTTTCTATGCCAGGAACAAAATACACTGGCATCCTAATTGTGCCAATTGATATGGTAATTGAGATACACCCAAAGGCTTGTGTATTTCACAGAAGAGAAGATGCCATTGAAAAAAATTCCATATCCTAGGGATACATCATGCAGTTGCATTAGGTCCAGATTTTCAGCGGGTGTAAATCAGCAAAGCTTTATTGGCGTCTGAGTGGAGTTTCACTCATTTATAAAGCTGGCCCCTTTAACCTGGCACCTTAGAAACTGGATTTCCGGACGGCAAGTGGTGACAAGTGAAATGAATGGAGTATTTGCTGCTTAGTCACTACAGAATGTTTGCCCATAGCACAGAACTACTATGACTCCACATCCTCTGCTCTGAAGAGGCTCAGGATGGGAAGAGGAAGTTTGTTCCAAGTCAAGACTGGAGTGTGCCAGCAGAGCTCAGGGCTAAAAGCTCACAAGGCCATCGCTTTACTACATGATATTCGTCTGTATTCAAATGTCTTCCAGCTCTATAAAGAATGAACTATTTTTTTGCAACACTCCGTGTGCTCGGAAAACTCACTTGGCGCTCAGGGTTCCCGTCTCAGTGCCCTGCTTAGGGTGAATTTGGTGCTCTTTGAATCCTATGGACTGATGGAATTGGGTGAACCAGGCATATAGGTTAGAAGATCCCTAGCTCTGATTCTTAACTTCTTTATACCTTGTCTGGTCATTTAAATCCATGCACTGTGGGTGCAAAATGCCACATATTCAGAATGGCAGCATTTTACTCCTCACTTGACATAACTTTCAATGGCTGTCCAAGACACAAGGCAGGGAAGAAACAAGCCCACTGTCCAAGCTTCCCCATACAACCTCTCCAATGCACCTCTGCCCTGATCTGCATTGTTTCTGCTAGCCAGCGTGCTGGGCCTTTCCTGAACTGAGGTTGCCTTTTGTGGCAAATTGTATGCTGGTTTTGTGAGGAAACCAATGACTCAGGGGCAAAGTAGAAGCCATTGAACTCCTAAATCTGGGCAGTGCAAAGGTGAAAGCATTAGCGTGCTATGTCCCCTCACATAAAACAGCACACTTACAAATAAAATCAGCACATTTCCCGCGCTTGTTTGTATTGAGTGAAATTCACCCCTGTGCAGGTGGCCAGTAAAGGGCCCATCCATCACTTAAGTCCTATTTTGAGGCCTTAAGTGGTGCCCAGGCCTTGTACCTAGTTGTTGTATCCAGATAGGTGCAGATAGCTACACCAGTTTGCATTTTGTTCCTAGGTGGTTGCTATACCATAGGGTCCAGAAATCACAATTCCCAGGATGCACCACAGAGATTAGGGGTGCGGGCTAGAAGGGGAGATAGAGGAAGAGAAGGAGGAATAAGAATGTGAGCTCTGTGAAGAAGTGAGGGGAATACACCTTATCATTTCTTCCTGAGTCTTCCTCATAGGGGTCCAGGAATGAAATTAGTCCTCTGTGTGGGATTGGTTTTCACCCATTCTGAGCTAGTGATGAGGACAATTACAGAAAACTATGCACTTAAAGGTATTAATTAGGGGTAGGTCTGGCTAGAAATCAAGAATTACAGTTCACAACGTGATTTTGGAGTTTGTTTTTCTTTCCACATTGGGACAAAACTGAGACCCACCTCGGAATAAGCCATTGGTTGGGGCTTAGGATGTGGGCTGTCTAGCCTGGGAAATGTGGGATGGTTATGCTCTGAATCAGGCAGAGTAAGGAGTAGAACCTGGGTCTCCACATCCCAGGTGTGTGCCCTAACCCACTGCCTAGCCTGGGGTGGGTTCGCTTGCTCTCTCCCATCCTGACAAAAAGTTTCACTGGAAAATTCTTGACTAGCTGTGAGCTCACAAAAGTGCAGGGAGGGATGAAGTACCAATGCCAAAGGTAGGACTCCAGATGCTCCTGCAGATGCATGCATGGTTCCTTTTCATCTTTCGCTGCCACATATGCTAGTGGCCTCAGCCTTGGAGCACAGCCATCTGCTCTGTCACAGTGAGGATGAATTCTGTACACAGCAACCTTCTGCAGTGTCCTTTGCTTCCATTGCCCTTCCTTTGCCTCCTGCCCTTGGAGCAGTTTGACTTGATGGTACAATTTTTACCTTTATTGTCGTCTGGCTCTTCATTGTGAGTCTAATAGGGAGAATGAAGAATGAGTCAAAGAAGGCAATTGAAATGAAGCACTAAATAGATTTGTTTCCAGGGAAGGTATTGGGGAGGGAATTAAGGGCCATGGTAAAAAAAAAAAGCTGGAAGGTTAAATGAAAATAAGCCAAATAAAGGCCAGGCATTGTTGGACTGGATGGTCTCTTTCTATTCCTGATGACCAGTGATCCTTGAAGGGTCTATTTGATTGTTTGGGCAACTCGCTAACTGCATGACACAGCAATATATTTTTCATAGATCATGGAAACAGACCTGCTAGTGTGAGATCAGTAGCAACTTGCCTGGCTCTTTTCTAACCTTTTTGCACTGCTAATAGATATTCAGCTGGCTGCCAGAGAGGGATAATGAAAAGCAAGGCTGGAAAGCTCCCGCCATCCGGGAGAGTGTCTGCCACTAGAATTGTCAAGAAAGGTTTAGCTCTTGGCACAATCATCTGATATACAGGATGGGCAGGCAGAAGAATTCTCTATACATTTTACTGTCATTCATCTGCCGGGGTGTTTTGCAGAAAGGCTGCTCCTCCAAGAACTCCCCCTTTACAATCAAATGATGATTTGTGATCCAAGCAATGGAGAAAATAATGTTACCTTGGAATTTATGAATGTGTAATGATATTTCAGCTATAATAATGAATGACAATTTTCCCTCCTCCCCTTTCTTATATATGTTTGCGTGTTTATTTCCATTTACATTTCCACTTATTGATGTCCTCTTAAATTCTTTTTCATGCAGGGAAATTGCCAGTGTTTGGGGTGCTGGGGGAATTTGAGTTGTTTGAATCAGAAGAATGCATTCCTGGAAGCCTTCAATTCCCTGTATATCCTGGTGTCCTTTGCTAGCATTGTGTTGTTTCTTGCCCTAGTTAGGGACCTGATCCTATAAGTCTGTTGGTACTAGGTTGTGACTCTGTCTGTCCAGAGTAAGGAGCAGTGTGTAGTGGCACAGACCCAGGGCAGACCAGAGGATGTCTCACCATTTCTCCCCTGCTCTCCATCTTCCTCTGGGGTGGACATATGTTTC